CCGTGGCATCACAGCTCACAGCAACCTCCAACTCCTGGGCTCAAGTGAGTCTCCTGCCTCCGCCTCCCAAGTAGCTGGGACCACAGGCGCCCACCACGACACCTGGCTATTTTTTTGGTTGCAGCCATCATTGTTGTTTGGCGGGACCGGGCTGGATTCGAACCTGCCCCCCTTAGGTGTATGTGGCTGGCGCTTTAGCCACTTGAGCCACAGGCGCTGAGCCGAGAGAGGTTTTCATTTAAATATGGAATATTTCTAGATTGCTAAGTTTTGGATTATTTTATCATTTCTGGAGCACTGTATTTAAAACAGGCCTGTCCATCTGGCTAGCTTGGTCAGTAGGGCACAAGACTCTTAAAAAACAGGGTTGAGCATACTCTAAAATAGGAAATATGTAGATAAGAGTTAAATTTTAGCTTAAAGCACATCACAGACCTGCAGTTAATTTGTTTTTTTGAGACAAGGTCTCACTCTGTCATCCTAGGCTGGAGTCCAATGGCATGGCTGTAGCTCACAGCATTCTCAAACTCCTGAGCTCAAGTGATCCTCACACCTTAGCCTCCCAAGTAGCTTGAACTACAGGTGCCCGCCATCACAGCCAGCTAACTTGTTTTATTTTTATAGATGGGGTCTCACTGTGTTGCTCAGGCAGGTCTTGAACTCCTGGCCTCAAGTGATCCTCTTGCTTTGGCCTCCCAAAGTGCTAGGATTACAGGCCTGAGTCACTATGCCTGATTACTTATTCAATGATTTGCTCTTCCCAATTTAAAGTTAAGAGGCAAAAGCTACACTGTAGTGCTAGGAGGTTATGGGAAAGATTAACTGTTGGTATTGGGGGAGCAGCCTCAGGAAGGCTGGTACAGGGCTACTCCCTTATGGTAGTCCTCACAACATGTGGGAAAGACCACTAGTCTTTAGCAGACGGAGCCCACAGACTGAGAGACACCCCACAGTGTGAATGACAGCTCTCAAAAGCAGTCTTCCCACACCCTGAATGATTTCTGAGTATTCTGCCAGATACACGCACTGGTGAGAAATCTGTTTCTAAATCCTTTTATATACAAAAAAGTACTTTTGTACAGTTTTCCAAGAATGTAAATATTTTCAAATCTGCTTTATTTAGTTATAAATTTTACTGAGATATGTCTGCTACTTTGGAAAAATGACACCAGTGACAATACCACCACCTATGATGTGTGATGCACTAACATATCTCCAGACTTTATAGAAAGTGATTATTTCGTACATACAAGCTGTAAGCATACGTGACTACTTGTTTGCTGGAGAAGTTCTAAAACTTTTATATATTACTTATTAATTAATATAAAATACTGTGCTTTAATTATTATTAATTTGAGATAAGGTCTTGCTCTGTCACCTGACCTAGAGGGCAATGGCATCATCACAGCTAAGTGGAACCTCAAACTCCTGGAATCAAACAATCCTCCTACCTCAGCCTCCTGAGTAGGCAGGACTAATGGCACAGGTCACCACTTTTTGTAGAGATCAGGTTTCACTATGTTGCTGAAGGTGGCCTTGAACTTCTGGCCTCAAGTGATCCTCCTGCCTCCACCCTTCAAATACTGGAATTGCAGACGTGGGCCAATGCCCAACCTCTTCCAAGAAGTTTTTTTTAGTATTTTAGACATTTTATTTCCTCAACGATGTCGGGGGTCAGGGTGGGGGGGATTCCAGTTCCCTGAACCCAGCTAACTTGGTTTAACTACTCACTGAGCTAGAAGGTTCAACTGAGGCATGGCAGTAATTAAAAGCAAAAATGAATGAAAATAGAAAATAACATTGGAGCGGCACAGGCAGTGTGCGTAGAGAGCAAAAGCAACCTGCACAAGTTCCCATGTTAACAGAATTTTATTTAGCAAGAACAAAGAGAAAGCTTACAGCACTTCCAACGGGATTTGGAAATACGTCCCTCTCATGAAGGAGCAGGGGAGAGACTTTTCCAAGAATTTATTGGTTAGCCCAATTCACAATTGCTAGGTCATGGAAGAAGCCTAAGTGCCCATTGACCCATGAATGGATCAAGAAATTGTGGTATGGCTTGGCTCCTGTGGCTCAAGCGGCTAAGGCGCCAGCCACATACACCTAAGGTGGCGGGTTCAAATCC